TAGGAGATAGCCATGTTTGGAAATATTTGCTGACCATACTCACGGTGCACAGCTATGGGTTGGGTTTGGGTCAAGTTGATATTACTTATTGTCAGCTGAACCTCTGTCTAGAGTTTAGGACCTAGTTTAGGCCTTGCAGCGCTCTGCTGTGCGACTAGACCTACAACATGCCTTCCATAAGCCCTCGCCTCAAGAAGGCCCTCCCATGAACTTACATTTGTAGTGACACTGTTCTTGCCTCACCCAACCCTAAACCCTAAACCCTGATGGTTCCTAAAGCCGAAACCCAAAACCTAATCCCAACATCTAATCCCTTGGCGCGATCCTGCACGCAACAGCCATAAAGCTTGGGCACTGCCCCCCACAGCCACAGTCTACAATAGGGGTATCTAAACCCCAAAAGTATGTAAAATAATAGCCCTAAACCCCTAATAATAGTAATCCTAAACCCTAAACTCAAGTCCAACCTCAGGCGAGTAGACCGCCGGAATATCACCGAATCCAGAACCTGAGTAGTTGTCGAATCACCCAGGCCGTCCCAGGCGGCGTAAGGTTTAGGGCTTAGGGTTCAAAGGCGGGAGAATCCTGGAAATAGAGCCCCCAATACAGCACCCTGTACTGCTGGTGGGTGGTTTGGGTGAAACCCAGGAGCCCCTGAGAGAACTACTTCTATAGATTCTCCAGGAGTCTAGTCAGGCAGTCCCATATTCCCGTTGTAAAATCCGTTAACTTAAAAGGATGGGAAGATCTTACTCTGTGGGTTAAAGGTCTAGGCTCTAGCTCCCAGTTGCTGAGTCCCCTGGCCCAAGGAAGGGTAATTTTCCATGAAAATAGGATTCCATAGACCTTCCAGAGGTTAAAGGGTGTCCTTGTCTGCGGTCAGCTCCCCAAAGAGGTTAAAGGCGACCCAGCTGCTAAGGTCTTGGGGACTATACACTAGAGGGTCAGGGGGCATAGTAAGTAGACTTATAACTCCCATAACCCACAGAGTGACCCCAGTGACCCCAGTTACCCCTCTTACTAGACTTGGATGTGAGGTCTAGGCCTTCGAATCGAAACAAGGATTTTACATCATGCTTGTAGACAAGGATTATGGGTTCAGGGCATGTCTCTTGGCAGTTCGCAAGATTGGCATCACTTGCGGGTGTCTCGCCTTTAGACTGCCACACTATTCGGATATCTAATTGGGATTCAAACTCTGGACGGGCACATGTACTTTGCATTTGCCCCATAAGTTTGCGCGTTGTTGTTTCTGAAGGGTTCTTTCGACATACGCAACACGCCGCCGTAAGACTTGAGACCCAGCCATCCCTACTTTATGTCCTTGCGGAAGCTCAGCGCAACACAGAAACCCTGGAATCCACCTTCTGGGTCGCGAGTATTTCGCCAGACCTCAAGCATGAGCACTATATATAGGGTTTAGGGTTTAGGGTTTTGGGGTTTAGGGGTTTAGGGTTTAGGGGTTTAGGGTTTATAGGGCTCCAAACAGCGCAAAGTGGCTACGACATGTAGAAACCCAGGCCTCAAGTGTATCATGTGGTACTTTTTTGTTGAGATAGCACCCCAGGGTATGAAACAATTGCTCACTATAACCCCATTGTAGCAGTTTCCATTTATCCATTTCCCAAAATACCCCCCATATAACCCCAATGGGTACCTGTATCCCCAATATAATCCCAATGTGCTTGAAGTTCAGAAGCTCAGGATAAGGGCTTTGTTGTATAATTAGCTTCATGGGTTGAAATGGTGATGGTTGAGCCAGGTGCCAAAAGCCTTAAAAAGGAACACGGGGGCGTTTCCCAAAATTGATGGTACTTTTTCGGGGGTGGCTATAATAAGGTTTACAGTATTTTGGCATCTATATTGGGGTCCCCCTGTTTAAGGAAACTACCACATCTTGCATTGGGGTGGAGCTCCAGTGGAAAATTTAGCCAAACTACTGTCACGATGACATATTAGGCCCTTGTGGCTGCCAAGAAACATCCCGACAGGCTTGCTCGTGAGCCTGGAATAAAATCCCTGTCGCTCCTCAACTAACTGGGTTGCTGGTAAGGAACTTAGTTCAAGTTACCACAATGCGTATATACAGTTATTAATAGGGTTTCCCCAATATAGTAACTAAAAAAACTTCCTTAACAGCAACCCAGCTTAGATCGCGCAAAAGGACGCTGGGGCTCTGTCCCATTGGCTGGACTCAAAATGGCAAACATTTGGGCGTACGCCGACCTGCGACGAAGGGAGGGTAAGTTCCCACTATGAGCGGCATAGAATCAGAGCCCGCCAAGCTCCAAGTGGATGATCTATGTACAGCCCCTTGATGATCCCAAATCGCCCTTCTCATCCTCTTCCTCGTATATCTCTGGGCAGCTTGTTTTCTGAGAAACCTGATGCTGGCAACCCCCATTCTGGACCCTGGTAACCGCTTACAGATCCAAGGTGGATGCTTCCCATGACTGTGTGATCTGTGAGGGTTTAGGTTAGGGCTTTTGCACTTTGAGGGTTTGAGGACTTGCGTTTTTTTTTTTTGGTGTCCTGCGTAAGGTAGTGGAAAAGGGGCCTACGTAGCCTATTTTGCTCAAGGCCTTAGGCGCTGTGTCTCGGCAACCCTGACACAGCTTCTTGGCTTTGCAAATGGTCTCCTTCATGGGTTCTCTCATCTGGTAGCGCTTGCAAAATCATTCCAAGGTATAGTATAGTACAAGGCCCCTAAACTACAAACCTGGTAGCTGTGCCACTTGCAATCGTCTATCTGCATCTTCAAACCTCCAACAAGGGTCAGTAGCGCCCGCCCGCTGTCGGCCCCTCTGAAGCACAGATATATACCCCTATATAATCCCTATAATAATAGAGTAGTTTACATTTTCTTTTCCATTATCTCAATATAACCCCAATATACTATAGTAGTTTCCATTTTCTTTTCCATTATCCCAATATAGCTATATGATATAGACCTCTTCAAGCGTCAGGTTGTTCTTTGCCCAGAAGCTCGAAGACTCCAGCGAGGCCCTGCATGGGTTCTCTCTTGTATCCAAGCCACAAGAGCCAGGGAGACAAAGATAGAGGGAGAGGGAGAGAGAGCAAGCAACAAACTACAAGGAACAATCTGCTAGAAATTTCAAACAACTTCGACTGCAAGCCCCAAAGAGTTTAGAGGCTTAGAGCTCTTCGGTTGTCTGAGCATAAGCTGGAAAGCTTTCAGGTCCGACTCGGTCCCACAACTTGCGCTTCAAGCGTTGATGTGTGCCGTTTTTTTGTGCTTAGCAGGCTCGAGTTCCAGGGAAGGCCTGCGGGCACTTCTGCGGAAGTCCCGTGAAAGTCATGGCGCCTTGCTTAGCCTACGGTGCACTAAGCCCGAGACGCTTTGGGCAAACAAATCTGAATAAGCTCTGACTCTGCTATGGCGGTCTGCGCCTGAAGCGGCTAGCATGACTGCAAGCTTGTTGCTCACGAGCACTCCCCAGCGAGAACGAGCACATCTGCTAGGATGAGATACTGCAACCTTGAGAAAAACCCAGACCCTGAACCCTGTACAGAATACTGTGAGCCGTAACCCATATTTGAGAACGTCCCCCACTCAAGGAAACCTCCCGTGAATAGATATCAGGTGGGTACCCTCAAACGAGGCCTGTATATACATATAGGCCAACGAGTTTCATATGAGCCTTAGATTGGGGTACCCACCTGGTAACTACCCAACCGCGGGGCGTACTTTACCCATCTTCCTGTCCATAGACCCAAAAACCCTATGCCCCAAACCACTTTATGCCGGCCTGGCATCTGGGCCACTCCAACCGCCTCTCACGGCCTCGGATTCACGCGCGCTTTGGTTGTTGAGGGTGAAGGCTTCCAAAAACTTAGTTGCCCAGTTCCCTGGCTCAGAGAAGCTGAGCCTTTTAATTCTTGGTTAATCACTATAACCTGCTCAACTACGACGAAATTAGCCCGTAACGACAACTTGCTGCACATGGCCACTTCTCATACGGCGAAAGCAAGGTCTACGAAGGAATCGCAAATGCTACACAGAATGTCTAGCTTGGGGTTCCAAATCAATTAAGGGGACTATTGTAAAATGGCAGTTTCCATTTTCTTTTCCATTATCCCTAAATAACCCGAATAAAACCCAATAGTTTATCTACTTAAGGTTTCCGGAGGGTTTCCCAAAACTATGGGTCACCTCTTGGGGCCTCTATGGCCTCTGTACAAGGGGGAATACCTTGGTGGGGGTATATCGCGAGCAGGGGAAGTTGAGTCAAGGTAGAGGCTTTTCAGGGTCTGATATGGATTACAAGGGCGGTAGAGGACATACACCAGGGTTGTTGAAGTTATGCGTCATAAGTGTTCATGATTCAAGCTTTCACGTTGGCTGACTGCATGGACGGATCACATGTGGAGATCCTGGACGGGACGCACATGCAGATCCAGCACACGCGACAAAGATTGGGCTGCATAGGAACGAGCCTGTGGCAGCACGGCAGGCTTGCACCACATTGCAGTCATGGTGAGGGCGCTCATGAGCATGTGGAGGCTAGCTTGGCCGCACCTTAGGCTTGTTGATTCTAACTGCTACTGCTGCTCCTACCCTCTGGGGGCAAACAATGAACACAATTCTAAGTTCAGTCCGTCACAGACGGACTCTTTTGACTCGCGCCCCGCGCGCGGTCTTCTTGCAGAAATTCTGCCGCAGAACGGGTGGCTGACACTGTACCAGCCGCCCGGCAAAATGAGGCCTCGTACGCACGCATGCGTTTCCTGTTAGGAAACTGCCACGCCGAGAGACCGAAGATGCTTTCATGAAGGAGCAATCAATTAACTGTAAGAGGTCTATGTTGGAACCATATGCTACAAAGGGCTTCGCAGCACCCGCAAGCAGAAAACACGGCAAAGCCGGCGAGAAAACTGCGCTCATCGCATGAAGAACCGACCTTGTTACATGCAGTGACCGGGCCGTGCCCAAGCGGCTAGGACCCGGCTTCCAATGCAGGCATCCACAAAGGCGGATCTCACACTGCCCCGATCTCGCGGGCCTGAGTTTTGCCAGTCATCTCTGCCTCAATTTCTTCCAAGGTCTTGCCCTTCGTCTCAGGCACGACGCCAGACACGAAAGCAAAGCTGGCAACTGCGAGAGCCAGGTAAGCAAAGAAAGTCCCGGAAGGTGTAAGCGCATTCATCAACGCAGTCTGGCACAGAGTCATCAAGATGTTGGAGCCAAAGTTCACCATGGCGGCTGTGGACAGGGCAGAGCCCCGCACGCCCAGGGGGAAGATCTCGGAGATCATGAGCCAGGAGATTGGGCCAAAGCCGACCTGGTAGCCACTTACATAGATCATCAAGGCGACTACTGTGGTGATTGCCCATGGTCGTGGCACGTTCACCTTCTCCTGAGGGCACTGCGCCATCGGCACGTTCTCGTCACAGGTGCGGAAGGCGAAAGCGACGCCGAGCAGCGCCAACGCGAAGATCATCATCGCAATTCCCCACATCAGCAGCTGTCGTCGTCCATAGAGGTCCACCCGCCACACGGTGAAGAGCGTCGCAAGGAGCTTGACGAAGCCTACGCCTACCGAGCTAAGTGCCGCAGCACCGGCGAAGCCAGCGGACTTGAAGATGTTTGTGGCAAAGTAGAGCACGGAAGGCTGTCCGGTAACCTGCTGCAGGAAAACCAGGCCGCAGCCGATGATGAGAGGTCGGGGATACTTGAGGGTATCCGTGCAGTTCGCGGAAGTCCCAGCACCAGCGGAAGCCTCCCTGGCGTCATTCAACATGGTGCTGAACTCCGGCTCCACATCTTCCTCAGATGCTCCGCGGAAGAAAGCCAAGGCCTGGCGCGCTTCAACGGCCATGGGCGACTGCCCAGCCTGAAGGAGGGAGGTGTCCTGTAAGCTGCGGAGCACGAGCCAACGAGGTGAGTTTGGGATGAAGGTGATGCCTACCTCCACAATCAAGGCGAAGATGGCAGCAAGGGCAACCATGATGCGCCATCCTCCCTGAGGAATGCCCGCGCAGACTGCACCCATAGCGAAGCCGATGAACATGCCAACCACGATGACCATCTCCTTTGCTGAGACCAGGGTGCCACGGATCTCGGCAGGAGCGATCTCCGCGATGTACACGGGAGCCGCATGCATTGCAAAGCCAATGCCCAAGCCATAGATCAGGAATCCGGCATAGATGCCCCACAGGACAGGTGACAGTGCTGCCACGATAGAGCCCAGGAGATAGAGGCCGGCACCAATCTGCACTTCCTCCGAATCTGCCCTAACACCCTCCAAAAACTTAAATTTGGCTCTTTATTGGACGGGTTTATAGTACGCACCAACTAAACCTGATACCTTAGGCCTAAAACTAAATCTCAAACCCTAAACCCTAAACCATAACCCCCCCAAAACCCTGAACCCTTTATGCACTTTACGGTCCTTCTTACGGCCGAGGATGTCAGCGTAGCGGAAGCAAGTGGCCGAGGACACCATCGCCCCAATGAGGTTCAGGGAGCTGAGGATGCCTAGGGGTAATATTGGCATAGTATTAGGGTTATATTGGGATTTAGGGTTTAGGATTTAGGGTATATATTGGGATAATGGAAAATAAAATGGAACCTACTACATATAGGTTTAGGGTTTTTAGGTTATAATTGGGAACCAAAAGGAAAACAAAATGGAACATGAAATGGAAACTGGGGTTCCATAGGTTTAGGGCTGTATCGGGGGGTTATATTGGGACAATATGACATCAAAGGTATATTGGGATAATGGAAAATAAAATGGAACCTGCTACAGGTTTAGGGCTTATAGGGTTTTAGGATCTAGGTTTTAGGGTTGAGGGCTTAGGGTTTATAGGGCTTATAGGGGTATATTAGGATCATCTCAGGTTTCTATTGGGGTTGTATTGGGGATAATGGAAGATGAAATGGAAACTACGATAATAGGCTTCCATAGGTTTAGGGCTGATAAGGTTTAGGGTTTAGGGCTTTGGGCTTACTTGCGGTTTAGGGCTTAGGTTCTAAGGTTTAGGGCTTTGGGTTTAGGGCTCCAGGCTTACTTAGGGTTTCGGGATTAGGGTTTAGGGGTTAGTACTGTTACTTCATTTGGAGGGTTATCAACAATTTTCAGGAATGATATCAATAATAGTGACCGTATCAAACAAGCGAATAATACAGCTCAATGGAAAATGGGCACACAGCGATTGATGTGGAATACGTTCAACCCTGCACCCTAAACCCCGAACCCTAGAAGCCCTAGCTCTAAACCCTAGACCCTAAACCCTAATCCCTAAGTAAGCCCTAAACCCTAAAACCCTAAAGTTCCTAACCTCCAAACACGAATCCCTAAACAATCTCTGTTTCACGTCACTCCTGGCCTTGGTCCCAAACACTCAGGTGGTAGCACTGGCCATAGCCGCTGGAGGTCCAAGTACCCACAGGGCCTAGGGCTGTTATAGTAGGGGATGAAGTAGTTTAAGCTTAAGATGATCCGTGTACAACTCCTTGTAATAGCCCCTATGATGTCCAATCTTCTTTCATTGCCCTGAAAACCACGGCTTTCATGAGCTAGAAAAAAAACTGAACAATAAATTAATTCCAAATTTCAGGTTCTTGTACTTCATTCATTCCCCACTACCCACCCCATATATGCCAGTTTTCATGTTCCATTTCTTTTTGTGTGACACTCCATGAACTGGCAGAACCCTAAACACTAGAGTCACTAGAGCGCCTGACTACCAGTAAGCCACGGGGCCATTCCAGTCAGCAGGGCAGATCAGCTGTCCCTCGGTGACCACGTTGCCATTGATTCCGATGATGTACCCAAACAGAAGTCCGCCTGTTGCGTGATGCTTGTTTTGGTGATTGAGCCAAATAAGATTGTGTTACCTTCTAAGTCCAGATTCTAGAACAAGGAGAACATGTTTGTTACTCGGTATTCGGGGGCTACAGCATCCCTAAATACCACAGAACTCCTGTGGCGATGAAGGCAAATGCCACCAGGACGTTCCGGAGGCCCGCCATTGCTACTTGACTGTTGCGTGGGCAGCCTGAAGAGATGATTAGAATAGTGGAGATGAGAGAATGGCTGTAGAAGTGCAAAGCTGACAGGTCGCTGCTTGAGCCCTGTCACGTCAGAAGAAACGGTCCTCTAATGTCCTGCTAGTGCTTGCACAAGGAACAGCCAAGAATCCCCTGTACTGTAGTGGCTGCTGTATCCAGTTCCTTCCTTCCCCGTGAACCACCCTAGCATAGGAAGGAACGTGTGGTATGGAGACATCTCAAAAAAATGTGCTCCCCCAAATTGTAATCCTTCTGAGAAAGATCTCCGCCGGCACGAAGGCAAACATCACACTTCGATCCTATGCGTTCTCAAGTTGTACCTCCCTGATACCCTAAGCCCTAAAGCCTCAACATTGTTACCTGGGTGCGCATATTACGAAACACACTAATTAAGAGTAACTCTATGATATATGATTTCAACTTGGTTATGGCTTAAGTGAGTTCCTACCAGGCCGCTTCATAAAATCTTTCGTCATTGTAAGATGTCTTGCTACCATGTAGCCTATCATAAGCCACGTAATTGAGGTTACAAATGTGGCCTAGACTATTTGGTAACTTCCCAAAATAATGGAGACCCCAATGCAGAAACGAATATACTATAGTCCTCATTATAGGGACTCCGCAAGAAGGTACCCCTAAGTTTGGGAAAGTACCAAATCCTAAAAAAACGCTTAAATCCTAGAAATACCCTATGATCCCTATATACACACCATATAATCACTATAGTTTCCATTTTCTTTTCCCATTATCCCCGTAAAACCCCCTTTATACAAGCCCCAGCGCCATGATGCAGACGTTTCACGCTTGGGCTCAGACTCCCAGCACCGAGTCGTGCGGACACCAAAGGTCTGGTGCATCTTCCTGCCTCCTGGAGCCCAAGGGTCCGTGCAGGGGTTTAGGGTGTAGGGTTTAGGGGTTTAGGGCTAATAGGGTTTAGGGTATCTCCCCCCAATCATATGATATAAGGGAGAACATTTATGATTCGGGTAGGGGTTGTTAATAGGGGAGAGGATGCTTCTAAATATCTAGGCGCAAGGGTTCCTATATAGCCAGAGGCCTCCTGGAATGAAGAAAGGCTTCTACTAGGGTCCCGAGCAACTCAGGGCGAAAGAGTTCACCCCTTTTTTTAGGTATAGCTTTGTTCTGTAAAGAACTTAAGACCCAAAAAAGGGAAAAGGGCCTCTCAACGTCCCAGTCTAAGACAGCCACAGCTGTCATTTCTTTACGGGGCTGTAAATGCCCAATACTTACGTGCTTGTGCGGGACGCGTTGCAGGCGGATTTCTTCGCTCTCGGTTGAGTGTCGGACCTCCACAATACACATAACAATGATGGAGCTGGTAGCCCTAAAAACCAAAATAAAGGGTGTATATATATATATAGAGAGGCTATGCTCAATACGGGTACCTGGGATGTCTTGGTAAACTCATGGCCATGATTTGCTGTTTTCCTTCATTTCTTCTTCTCTGATAGTTTCTTCAGTCATTAAGTTGTTTGGGCACAATTGGGGCGCACCAACGCGACTGAAAATGTAGCATATCCCCGAATAGGTCCCTCTATACCCCCCATATATCGCCGTATGGTCCCTCTCCCAACCTTCGTAGCTCATGTGGGATTCTTGGACCTCAAATTCTGAAATGAAAAGGCCAGTCCCGAACTGGATTGACCCTAAGGTTCCAAATAGCGCAATTCGGTACTCTCTGTAGACCATTAATTAGGGTCCAATGCTCCAGGGAGAAGAAAGGGGATTTTGGGTTAAGACTACGAATTCAAATTCCCCAGGATGAGGATCCTGCCTAGTTGAAACAAGGCGTTTTGCGAGATGAGTGCCCGGATGTCAGGGACGTGCAGTGCGCTGAGATGCTTTTTCTGGTTCCTTCCTGCGGTAGCAGTACTAAATTCAATTCTATTTACACCAGTATGAAGTTGAAAATTACCTTCAGCAATGACCTAGCTGTTGGGATGTTGGGTTTAGGCCTAGGCGAGCAGGGCGAAAGTTGCAATAGCAGGTCGTTCTGGTCCAGCAGGTAATTAGTTCCCTCCCTTTTGGGAAAACACGTTTTGGATGGTGCCCATTCATCGCGCGCATCGTATTAAGACGCCGTTGTCAAAGACCCCACAAAACACCAGGAAGCACCTCCACTCCAGACACGCCACAGCGTGTTGATGAACACGAAGAGCCCGGAGACTGATGAGCCCTCCAGAAGAACCTCCCTTCATTTGGTAGTTTCCCAAAATAGGGGGACCCCAATGTAGACCCCAAGATACTATAGTGGGCCTCGAACAAGGTATCCCTAATTTTGGGAAACCACCATTTATACTTATACATGTTCAGTTTTTCCCTGATTGCTATCTGAACCCTATCTTGAGCCCATCCAGACTGTAGCCAAACTCCCTGCTCCATTGTACCATGCTAGCTGTGAATCCACTAAACTTATAATCAAGATCTCAGTTTCAATAACTTCATAGGCTCATAGGGTTATTATACTGCAATGAAGAGTATGAATTCTGTTTAAGAGTTCCACAGATTTATGCCACAATGAACTTTCTGAAAGTCAACATGTTCGGTAGGAGTTGAAGCCGCCCCGAACATGTAGATCGCCCACTCAGTCCCCTGCGCAAAGCAAGACTCAGCGCCGAGCCTCTGTAATTGAGGAGCTGGGTAAGCATGCTGCGAAGCACTTATTAGTCTTGTCTATAACGGTAAGTGTAAACTTTACATCCTAAACCCTGACAGGACTTAGCTTATAACCTAATTATGGCTCGAGCGTATTCCTGCCTAGCTAAGGAATGATGTAGGGTTTAGGGTTTCAGGGCTCTGGGGAAACACGCCAAGCTTGCTGCTCCTGAGTAGCGAATGGAACCATGGAAAAGAGCATGGAAACCCACCATTTCCGGTTTGGTTAGTAGGAAATGAAGCAATGGCTCCCAGAAGAAGCGCTGACATACTCCAATGAACTAATAGTTTGGATTTTCTGTACCAGAAAATGCAGGGGGAGGCATGCAAGCAGCATAGAACTGTCTGCAGTTCTCCGGGCAATAAAACGTTAGGGAACTCTGCTCTGCGGCAGCTCTCAAGCCCAAAGAGGAGCCCTTTTGGAGGTCTAGAACTTATAAGAGTTTAGGAAGGGCTCTCCTGGGCTTGTTTGGGTGCTGTAAATATGTGACAACGTCCCACCCAACTTAGCTACGAGGCTGAGCTCCGATAACATGCCTTCACAGTTCAAGTGGATAGGCTTCTGAGGGTTTGAGTATTCGTTGATTTTAGGTTGTGGTGATTTTTTAATGCTTTCAAGGAGAAGCCCTGTAAAGTATGGATCCCAAGTCTGACTGCAGGTGTCACTAGAATGGCAAGATGCCTTTGGGGAAGGGGGTCATGTTATCGTTGCACCATGCTTCAAAAATGCTCCGCTTGTGGATGAGGGCTTCAGCGGATTGAGCTTACACAGCAAGAGTATTCAACACGCTCGTGGTTTCAAGCAGCTCCTGAATTGATGTGAAGCATTGCCTCAAGTCTTCTGCTTGCACGGCATGAGACATTGTGTCGTCTTCCTCCTAACGCTGCGCAACAATCGTATGTTGGGCTCAGCAATTTGCTGCCTACAAGTAGCTTGATGACCTAATGTTGGGCTCAGCAATTTGCTGCCTACAAGTAGCTTGATGACCTA